ACCTATCAATTACCCGGTTAATATTGACCAATTAGAACGAAATTTACTACGGAGGTCATGTGATATACTAAATATTACAGTATTACATATATTGACTCAAAAACATACAAGCTCTGTGTGTTAAAAAATGAAAATATGGAATTCAATTAAATTCATAGTAGTAATTAATCTTTTATCAGGGCAAACCACCAATTTAGTAACAGTTGAAGTTGACTTAACATATAACTAAAATTAGCTCATTAATGTTACACACTCGGCAAATTTGATGTTAAATATAAAGTTATTAGATCAATAAATGATTGATTAAAGCGATTATTTTTATTCATTCAAAATCCCTGAAAGGTTCATACTAATGTCGTTTAAACTTAGAACCTCATGACCAATGCTTCCACCTAGTGTATTATTATTGTTGTTGTTGTGATTATACGTACCAAATTGTGTTTGATCACTTGATTGAGGATTAATAAGAAGTCCATTTGGATGGTGATCATAATGGCTCACTTGAGAATTCGAAGCCGTGCTCGGTTAAGGTTTTATCTGATTACTAAAATGGATAAATGACAAAAATTATTTTATGTTCTAAATAATCAAATTAAAAATAATTTATATTATTATTATATAGCTTGGTTATATACGTTATTAAATTTCTTTATTATTGTGCGATTCTAATTATACATCGATTTCACCGTCCATTTCAGATGTGTTCCCATTTTTCCAGGATGTCCACGTCTCTAATGCTTTGAACAATAATTACAAGTTCCATCCCGATATCCATGTGTATCTGAATCATTAGTTTTATAATAAATTCAAATTTGCTCTCTAGGTCGATCTCCAGCACGTCGCTTACACTTCCATTTTGATACTGCTGATTTGTATTAAATGACATATAACTTTCAGAAAATGCAATAGCTTGAGATGATACATTTGAAAATAAATTTGAGGTGGAAGTAAAACTTTAGTCATTTTAATAATAAAAATTTTGACTTTAGGCGCGGGCTTAACAAACTATTAATTAAACTTCATTATAACATTTTACAATTGCAACAACTAAAATGCTAAATGCAAATACTATTTTATCATTTAAATACAAAAGTTAAGTGACATCATTAATTAAAATTATCCCAAAGTAAATATTGGTGGCAATGATTGGATGACAAAAGAATTTAAAAATACTGGTATTTATTTTATTAATTGTAATTAGGTCATATAATATTATATCATAATAATTTTTCATCATAATCTAATTTATTGAATGTGCTACTCTGAAGCAAATACTGGTGACAATGATTAATACCGGTTCCGTCTGTGCATTTTATATGCATGTTTTACTGTTTTTAATTCTGTATGTTTTGCTCTTTCTGCATGTTATTTTTTTTTTAATAGGGCATGCATGATCTTCGAAAGAAGAGATGTCCTACCTTTTTTAAAATAACTCTGTAATTGCATAGATTAAAACTCAAACTTTATCACACCAAAAAGATTTTTCAAAATATTGATTGTTGTTGAGTTCAAGTCATTTTTGTAAACAAGGTTTTACTATGCAAGGAGTTTGGTCGCAAATTTCTTCCAAATATAAACCTGCAAAGTAGAGTCAATAACTATTGAAAATTATTCAAGAAAGAGAAATTTACATTTGAATTCACCAAGAAGGATAAACAATAGAAAAAGAAGGCAGAATGAAAGTGAGCTATTACTTTGGAAGATAAAATATAATATGGGTTAAACCCTGTGATTACATAAATTATTAAATAGATTTACTGTTAAATTTTTCTTCTCCCTTCACACACATACATACAATCTGGTGACGACTGCAGTCTGACCCAACGGGTTGTATATTTGAGATGTCTCTTATATAATAATAAACACAAAATTTTAAATTGTTGATGAAACATAAAATTCAATTTTAAACAAAAAGAGGCTACGTTACCGGTTATACATATTATTTCTATTCAAAGTTAGGTTATAGTAATGGAATGTAAATATGCAGGACCTAAATTAACTTACTACATTGAGAAGGCAAGGAATGCTCTGCAAGTTGCGTTTTTGGCAATTGTAGGAATTGGGGAACGATTGCAAATCAAGTATTCTTTACGTCAACTCGAAAGTGGCTTTAATTACCCAGCTGATAATGGATCTTGTTCAACGATTTTTGGTTTGGTATTAAGGGGAAATGGTTACAACTTTATAACGGCTATGCGAGTAGGTATAATTTTTATTAACATATGACAAATTGATTACTACTGATGCTTTCTCTGTGGATAAAGTTGGAGTATTTGGGATATTGGTCATTTGATTAAAATGTTTGCTTATTCGTTCAACATCTAATTCTATTTGAAATTGTTAAACGACCCATTGAAGAAGAACGAAAGTGTGTAATTCGATTATTAGTATAAAAAAAATAATTAATTTTTATATAAATGCGACAATGTTAATGGGAAATCTGCGTCATTTTTCTAAGTGATAGTTTTTGCAATAGATCGTTTTTCAAACGTGTGTCGCTAATCTGTCTATAAAAAGATTAATGGAAAGTAATATCACGTTTTATTTCACTTTGAGGGTTAATAAAATAAAAAACTTACAAATAAGATTTATATATATATATATTTCAAGGTTTCTCTTCATTTGAGTAACAAAAAAACCAACATTTATTATGTAGGTTACTGAGAAAACACTTTTAAAAAACAATAATTCCTGCGAATGAGTGAGTAGAAAACACAAATGACATGTGTTTTTATTAATATTATGATTAAATATTCATAATTACTTATTTTTTTTAATAGAATTACAACCAAGTCAAGCGTATGTATTTCGTTGTTATATAGTAGTATAACGTTTAAATATTAATATTATACAGTTCATTCTCTATATGGTTTACGAAAAGATGTCTATTATAGACAGTAATGATTTATATATTAATATAGGACATGTAGATTGAGCTTAAATCCTTATTCTGTTATAGTTCAAGACCCATTATTATTATTATTATTATTATTATTATTATTATTATTATTATTATTATAGAAAGACAGATCTGTTATTATAGAGAATTACTATTTATATATATATATATGATTTTTTGCACTTATTCCAAAATTTTAAGCAGTTAAGTTAGTTCAGGTTTATATACCATGAGAGTTGAAGCTTTAAATATGTCTTTTATATTAACATTAACAGTAATGAAGTAAGTACTTTAAAAACTTTATTATCCGTTATAATAATAACTTTTTAATAAAATCGTGTAACGTAAATTGTTTATAATAGATTTTTATTATAGAAAATATTTTCCGATTTCATTCACATAATACGTAATTGTTTATTTTAATATGAACATATGAACTACAAAATAGACAAAGTTATTTTTTAACATAATTGTTATTTTTTTTAATATAAACCTATTCGTGGATATTTAACTAAAAATTTTATATAAAAAGATTTTTTTCTTTTCATTTACGATCGGACCACCAATTAAAATTAATTAATAAAAGAATAAAAAACATTAGCGTTCTAAATGAGAATATATCATGATTACTTAATGCTTATGAACATGCATGTGACAAGAATAAATTATTTCCTTCTTTTTTACTTCTTTGGATGTGGCAAAATAAATTCGAACAGATAAATTAAATAATAAACAAATAAACAAATTCTCTTTGTAATTTATTCAACCCCCCGTTTACATAAAAAAATATCAATGAAAACTCATATGTAAATAAATAATAAACAGAAGCAATAAACAATAAACATAAATAATTAATAAAAAATGGTCAATTTTTTTAAAGCAACAATGAAAACATTGATTATAGAGTTCACACACAGTTATAATATACTGTACATATTGAGATTGCGGAAAATCTTATTGTGGATCATGAGGAAGAAAAGCTATTTATTAATCAACCATTTAAACGTAACTGATAACAATACTAATTGTTAATATTAATGAAAATAAGTTAATAGTTCACATAATATTTTATTTATTAATTATTGCTAACTTTCGATCGAGGGAATTTTTTATTTGTATTTTTTAATAATAGGTGTGAATTTTGCATCTAAAGCGTGAAAGTACAATCATGTGATATTAGTAATTTCCGTGATTTTCAATGAAATGTTTTTACACGTTTTACCTGCTTCGTCCTCAAACAAATTTACAAATAAACAATAATACTAAAAACTTCCTTTTTACTAATATTATTACCATTTTTAATATAGATTTGTTAACTGTTGAATCAATTTCTGACGGTAAAGACATGGAACGATTTCTGTTAATTCATTTAATAATACAAATTCTCTTGAAACAGGTAAAATTAGTACTGAGAAGGTTTATTTATATTCCCACAGATCAAAAATTGTATGATGTAATTTTATACTCAAAGGCAGCAAATACAGAACTTTTAACACAAACTTGGTATAAATTATTTAAGCAATTTTGCCAGGAAGCCGATATTTATAATAAAGATATAGCAAATGAAAACAATTGGAATTGGAAATATGTAGATTTCTTGACGGATGTTGGTTTAAACAAGATATACCAAGTTTGGAAAAAATTTTATTTGACAAAATTAAATTATAGCAGACACTACCAGGTAAAATAAAACAATTTTTAGATACCAACCGCGTTAGAAGAACAAATTCTGATGCCCCAGAAAATATTACATATTTTAGAACATCCTCCATTAAATCTGAATTAACTTCTTTCTCTTACAAAAAAGTAGCCTTCTAGCCTTCATATATATGTGGTTTTCGTGGAGGAGATCTAAAGATCCTTGGGTAACATTAAATAATAATAAGAGGGAAATAATCATGCTGGTGGCCTTGATGATAAAATACCTGATTAAAAAAGCCATTTAAAATCCATCTAAACAAAAAGTTTCGAAAGATGTAATTCTTTACCAATTTAGAATTACATAATATACAATAAACGCTAATTAAAGTTGACAATAATAATAATAGGAAATAAAATTACGTAAGTAAATCATGCGATTATTCCATATAAAAATTATTGAATTTTTTAAACAAAATAATGTCAAATCGAGTAATTTATATATGACGGAAAATTATATTTTCTTGAATAAGTATGATAATATAATGAATATTATTTACGTATTTCATACAAGTTAAGAACCTACCAAAAATATTATTTTAGCAATTTTCGAATGTTTATTATTATGATTTTAAATGCATATTATGAAAAGAACCAAATAATTAATTTCCTAATCAGTCCAGTAAGTAACATTCATTCAAATTACAAATCGATCTATTAAAAAGTTAAAAAAAAATTTTTTCAATTTTCTGAAACGTATATAAACCAATCCTTCTTTCTTGCTTTTTTTCAAAAAAAAAATTTTTTTTAATCAAAAAATGAATGATCAAAAAAATAATATTTTTGCTTCGACCCGTTCTACTTACACGTCTGATATTGACACTTCTGGCGGAAATGCTTCGACTACCGATTTAAATAATATTAATAATGATCCTTTTGTAATTTTAACTCGTTCTCAATTTTTACTTTCGCCTCAACCTGAATTTTCACATTCTCAATTTTTACACGGACAACATTTATTTGTTGAAACACAACAGCCTCAACCTTTTTTTTACGCTAAATCCTCATCCAAGCCATCATCAGAATGAGCCCATTACTCCTCAACAACAATCAATATTTTGAAAAGTCATTTTACCATGA